CCTCCTGCGGGCAAGCACACATCCCTTGCTTGGAGAGGCCTGGTCACAACTGCACTGGCCTCCCAGCACATCCAGAGCAGGGCTGGGAGCAAAGGCCTCGGGCAGTCCGAGGCTGTTCCATCATTCTTCTCATAAGGAGACCAGACCCTTCTCAGCCACACAGCTCCTCCCACGAGGCAAAGGGGCACAACGCACTCAGTATGGGCCTCTGCTTACCCCTGTTCTCCCATCACCTTAGGACCTGGGCAATGACAGACCGACTGGAGTCTGAGCCATCAAATCCTAATTTTTAAAGTTTAGGCAAAGTCAGAATTTCAAGGAAACTTTTGGGTCTCAAGGCCTATGACTAGTTCCATCTGCTGCTAGTTTAATTCATATTCTGTTCACCACACACCTGGGACCCATTCCTGCCAGTGTGACTAGAGGCAAAATGACCAGTTTCTCTATCCTAAAATACCAGGACCCAAAATCTTATGAGGGATCCTGCTACAAGAGGCCACCCGAGGTTCACCGCTGGGTCCTCAGCCAGCTGGGTGTCAGAATCACCGAGACAGCATTTTAGAAATTTAAATATCTAGTACACTAGCCCAAACCTACCAAACTGAGTTTGTGGGGTCAGTGCTTAGAATAAAGAGCCCTGTTTGTGCAATGGTTAAGCACTTGGCTGCTAACTGAAAGGTTGGTGGTACAAACCCACCAGCCTCTCTGTGGGAGAAGGATGAGGCAATCTGCTTCCATAAAGACTGACAGCCTTGGCAATCCTGTGTGGCAGTTCCACTCCGTCCTCTCATCAGCAGCTGGAATTTGATTCAACAGCAATGGGTTTGCGTTTTGGGCTGGTTTAGGCTTAAACAGTTGGCATATCCAGCCAACTGTGACAGAGACTCAGGGCCAGAATAGTTTAAACTGGGAGGGGCTAGAAAATCTGCAGCATATGTGGCTGCATGCAGGGTGGCTTCTCTCCAAAGGCTTCACCCCCTCCAGAGAAACGTCCAAATTCTCAGCGCAGATGGCAGCAAAGGTAAGCTCACCTGATCGCTCATGTCTCCAGACTCCCAGAGGGCAAACACCTTCTGCTCATCCGGGGAAGCAGCACTCTGTGGGGGGAACTAACCAAGGCC